AGTGCTTTTCTCCAGTGTTGGGGCAAGAGCCACTCACCTCTTCCACCTCCAGATCAATGCACCAGATGACCAGGTAATTGGCTGTTTCCTCACACACCAGATGGACGTTGTCTGACAGGTACTTCTGGCTGTCATCCCATCGGCGGAGCATGCCTACAGGAAGGTGCTGGCAAGATGCTGGAAAGGCCCTTGAGGCAACAGGCCAGCCTCTACCTCATCCTCCCTTAGCACTTGGGGTTCCCATGCTCAACTTACCAAAGTGCTTAATCTGTTTCTCATATTTTTCCACAAAAGTCTTGTGTTTCTGTTCCCTCACCTCCTCTGAGTCCTCCTCTGGCTTCTCGGGCTTGGTATTGACCATGCTCTGTGGTAGAGTGAGAAAGGGAGTGGGCTGGGGCACAGCTGTAGGGTGCCCTGAGTGTGGCCAGGTGGGTCACGGTGCCAGCAGTGCCCATCCCATCCACAGTGGAGATGGTGATGAAGCCATGAATATCAAGGTAGTGGGCACATGGGCATGGGCCTTGGAGCAGATCCCAAGGGGGTACCGGTGGGGTGTTTCACCTGCCTGACCCCCAAACCTGTCCCCACTACCACCCCTTTCCCCATGGCCCCTGCCCACCTCCCATGGTCACCCAGCTGGCGCATGGTGCCAGCTGTCCTGCCCACCTTGCTGAAGCCATCCTTGCTGAGCGTGTCCACATTCCAGGGCATGCTCTTCTCCTTCTTGCGCATCTCCTCCAGCTTCTGCTCCCAGCTCCGCTCCTCCTTGCGCAGCTGCTGCGCCTCCGCCTGCAGCCGCTCTAGCTCCACCTTGGCACCTTCAGCCACCTCCAGCTCCTTCAGCTTCCTCTGGCACTCGGCCACCTTGCGCTTGCACTCACGGCAGCCCCTGTCCAGTTCTTCCTTCTCCTTCTGGAACTGCTCCATGCGCTCCACCCGGGCCTGTAGGCAGGAGTGGCCAGTGGCCTGTCACTCAGGGGAAAGTCCTAGCCCCTGGCCTACAGCCAATCCCACACTGGAGATGGTCACAGGAAATGTCTGCGCCCACCTCTATGTCCTGGTCTCCCACTATCACACCCATGGGCACCTGTGCACAACTTAGTATCATACTGGGTGAGGTCCTTCTGCTCAGAACCCTCTGTGGCAACCATCTCACTCAGAGCAGAGCCCAAGTCCTCAGCACAGCCCATCTTACCCCCACAAAATCAGGTCTTCTGCTGTACCCTCTGCCAACAAAGGCCCTGTCCTCCCCTAAGGAGGACTAAGTCCTGGTAGTTTTCACTTCTAAATGCTTCCTTTTTTTTGAGGAAGCCCTCACCCTTAGTAGAGTGCCCTGGTATCACAGCTCACAGTAACCTCACAGTCTTGGGCTCATGGGTGGTACCTGTGTCTCAGTGAGTAGGGCGCCAGCCCCATATACTGAGGGTGGTGGGTTCGAGCCCGGCCCTGGCCAAACTGCAACAAAAAATACCTAGGCGTTGTAGTGGGCACCTGTAGTCCCAGCTACTCGGGAAGCTGAGGCAAGAGAATCACCTAAGCCCAGGAGTTGGAGGTTGCTGTGAGCTGTGATGCCACAGTACTTTACCGAGAGCGACAAAGTGAGACTGTCTCTTATCTTTTTTTTTGAGACAGCCTCAAGCTGTCCCCCTAGATAGAGTGCTATGGCATCACAGCTCACAGCAACCTCCAACTCCTGGGCCTAAGTGAGTCTCTTGCCTCAGCCTCCCAAGTAGCTGGGACCACAGGTGCCCGCCAAAACCCCTGGCTATTTTTTGGTTGCAGCCGTCATTGTTGTTTGGCAGGACCAGGCTGGATTCAAACCCACCACCTTAGGTGTATGTGGCTGGTGCCTTAGCCACTTGAACAACAGGTGCTGAGCCGAGACTCTGTGTCTTAAAAAAAGTCTTGGATCGGCGCCTGTGGCTCAAGCGGCTAAGGCGCCAGCCACATACACCTAAGGTGGCAGGTTCGAATCCCCAGCCCGGCCCGCCAAACAACAATCATGGCTGCAACCAAAAAATGGCCAGGCGCTGTAGCAGGTGCCTGTAGTCCCAGCTACTTGGGAGGCTGAGGCAGGAGACTCGCTTGAGCCCAGGAGTTGGAGGTTGCTGTGAGCGTGATGCCATGGCACTCTACCCAGGGGGATAGCTTGAGGCTACGCCTCAAAAAAAAAAAAAAAGTCTTGGGCTCAAGTAATACTCTTGCCTCAGCCTCCCAATTAGCTGAGACTACAGGCACCCACCACAATGTCCGGCTATTTTTAGAGAGCTCTCGCTTTTGCTCAGGCTGCTCTTAAACTCTTGAGCTCAAGCAATCCACCTGCCTCAGCCTCCCAGAGAGCTAGGATTACAGGCATAAGCCACCTTGCATGGCCACTTCTAGATGCTTCTTCATTTCCTTCTACCTCTGGCCTTGCTCTAGGATCACTGTCAAGGTCCCCGCAGCTCTGTCTCCAGGCCAGTGGACCCTCCTGAGCTCCAGCTTGGTGTTTACCTGCCTCCTGCCCACAACTATCCCAGATGTTACTTGCCTAGCAAGTCCTCTTGAGCTGCATCCCAAGGTCCATGATGGTGGCCTATCTCTTCAGACTCTTGGCCCTGCCTTCACTGCCACTCTTACTCAGACCCCCATTTGGGCCCCTATAGAGTCGCTGGGCCCTCTCTGTCCCCTGTCATCCTCACATGGTTCTGCCATCATGTCATATCACCTGGCTCCCTATGAGGCCTGCTCTGTTTACAGCTGCTGCCTTTAATCACTATCCCTTTGATCTAGGGTTGGAGGGTGCCAAAGGAGTCTTTGACACCTGTACATCTGACTGTTTGACCCTACCCCTTTCTCCCATCACCCCACCTTAGAGTGGTGGGTTCAGATGGGAATTTGGACACCAACTCCAGGTCCTAGGTAGATGTTGGCTCTCCAGGTTCCCTGAAGGCACCAGCTCTCTTGCCTCTCAGCCTGTGCACACAGGGTTCACCTACTTTTGCTCCTAAGTGACCCTGCCCAAGGTGCCACTGACCACCAAGGACCATCAGAGGATGTGATGAGGTGCTAGAGGATAGCCTCAGGGCACCAGATCTTGGGTCAGGCCATCTTCTAACCTTTTGGAACCTCAGTTTCCTCATCTGTCAAACACAGGCAACAGTGCCAACCTCACAAGCTTATACTGGGGAGAAAAAAAAGGAGAACATTAAGGTAAAAAGTGGAGGGGCATGCTGTGCACTTAGCAAACACCATTCCTGTGCTGTCCACTTCTCTGTTTCTGTGAGAACTATTCTGGGGCTTAAACAAGGAAATGTCCTTCAAGTGATTAGCTCTTGACCTGGAATTAATGCTTGATAATCAGTAGTGGTTATTACTATATGATCTAAGCATTCAGCTTTGCTAACGTGACTTCCCTCATGTCACTTAAACCTCTCCTGGTTTTGGTTTTCCCCTCTGTGAAATGGGACCTCACAGGATTGCTGTGAGGACTGGTGAGTTAGTCTGTGGAAAATGCTTCCAAAACAGCACTCAGTAAGCAAGTCCCATTGTTGTCATCATCCTCATCGCTGTCACCAGGTCTGCTGACTCATTGCTGTGCCTTAGTTGAGGTTATGTCTCCAAGTTTTATCAGAGGGTCCAGCATACAGTGGATGAAAATTAGAAGAGCCCTGGCCCCTATCCTTTTTTTTTTTTTTTTTCTGAGATAAGACTCTTTTGCTTTGTCGCTTTCAGTAGAGTGCCAGCATCACAGCTCACAATAAGCTCAAACTCTTGGGCTCAAGTGATTCTCTTGCCTCAGCCTCCCAAGTAGTGGGGACTACAGGAGCCTGCCATTTTTTGTCTGTTTTTAGAGATGGGGTCTCGAACTCATGAGCTCTTGGCAATCCACCTGTCTCAGCCTCCCAGAATGCTGGGATTACAGGTGTGAGCCACACCACCCAGCTTCCTGGACCCTATTCTAATACCTGATAGAACTGACACAAGCAATCCCAAGCCTTTTCCCCAATAAGGAAAAGGGGTTGATGTGTCCCATGCCTCATGGAAAGATACAAAAAAGCAGCTGTGGACTCTGCTATCTCCCTTTCTCCTAAAGGGTCTGTGCCACGCTGGAGTCTCCCCATCACCTTGCTCACCTCTGGTGGGTGGCCACCATTCTCCCCAGAATCCTCTGAGCAGCTGCCAGGGAAGCTGAAGCTAAAAAAGGCCTCCTAGGGAGGTGCCTATGGCTCAGGGAGTAGGGCACCAGCCCCATATACTGAGGGTGGTGGGTTCAAACCCAGCCTGGGCCAAACTGCAACAAAAAAATAGCTGGGTGTTGTAGTGGGTGCCTGTAGTCCCAGCTACTCGGGAGGCTGAGGCAAGAGAATCGCCTAAGCCCAAGGAGTTGGAGGTTGCTGTGAACTGTGACTTCACAGCACTCTACCAAGGGTTAATAAGTAAAACCCTGTCTTAAAAAAAAAAAAAAGGCCTCCTAGAGGGGTTAGGGATGGCAGCCTCCCCAACCTAGCCCTTGTACCTCCCACCTAGGAGGAGATGTGGCAGGCTGGATAGGGCAGAAGCCATCAAAGGAAGCAGAGGCTGCAGATGTCACTAGGCCCTTCCCTACCTTATAGACAGGGAAACCAAGGCCCACAGAATCTCAATTTTGTTTAGCTCATTGGAAGGAACCACAAGAAACCACTAATAGCAGCTATCTATGGGCAAGAATCAGGCAATTAGGGCTGAGAATAGAGAAACACTTGTTGCCATCTAGAACTTTTGGAATTTTTAAAAAATAATTAATTTTATTTTAAATTTATTTTGTGAGACAGGGTCTCTCACTTTGTCACCCAGGGTAGAGTGCCAGGGCATCTTGGCTCACAGCACCCTCAAACTCTTGAGCTTGAGCAATCCTCTTGCCTCAGCCTCCCAAGTAGCTGGGACTACAAGCACCTACCACAGTGCCTAGTTTTTCAATTTTTTTAGCAGACATGGGATCTCACTCTTGCTCAGGCTGGTCTCAAACTACTTAGCTCAAACAATCCAACTGCCTTGATCTCCCAGAGGTCCAGGATTGCAGGCATGAGCCACTGCATCTGGCCTGGAATTTTTTTTTTTTT